CTAATATAGAGGGAGGGGGGAATTGGGCGGGGAAGAGGGAAGGTTGGGGGGGGGGGCGTGTTGGTGTTCTAAGTATGTAATTGAATAAAATAATTGAAAAAATCCAATTTGTGTACTTGTAGATTAGTTTTTGGATTTATGTGTAAGGAATATCTTGGTGGTCCGAGGGACTATGTTATTAAACTTATAGCTCTAATGGGATTTGGAGTATATATAAAAATGGAGTACATAAGTAAACTATGGACTCTCTAATAGAGTGATCTATACTTTTAGCATTTATCTAGTATATAGGCACCTAATGTATGAAATTTTAGTAATTTGTATTTAATTAAATAGGTCATGTCGTACACTTTAGATTTTGGACTAAGGACCACAAACTAAGTAGCTAATAATCCATACATTTTAGATTTATCAAGCATATGGGCATGTGTTGCATAAGAATATGGTTTGATGCACTTATTTAAACATAGGATGTCATACATATTACATTTTGGACTATGGACAACATACCATATAGTAATGTGCCTAAAAGTATTGAATATTTCATCAAGTAGCGTGTATTCCTAGAAGTAGGGCACTATGGATTTATTTAATTAGAGGTTGTCATACGCTCATATGTACATATTGGATTTTGAAGTATGGACTATGGACATATATAGTAAAGTGTTCAGTAGTATTTCACATTTATCAAGTAGCATGTAAGCATGTGATGTATAGAAATGGGGCACTATAGATTTATTTAACTTGAGGATAGCATACATATTGGACTTGTTTCCTTAACCAGTGATTTTTGCGGATCTTAAGGCCAAGCAATTGAGGACCTTGATTCCTATACTTGAAGAATCTGGATATTAGAACAAGAGGAACCCCGTTTATGACAAATGGAAACCTCGATCCCTTAACCAAGGGAACCCGTACTTGTTCTACTGGACAACCTCGTTTAATGTGTAGTGGAGCTTAGATTCTTTCCAGTCAAAACTTCGAACCCATCGAGATGGGATCTTCCTCCCATAAACGTAAGGATCTCGTTCCCTCTCTTGTTCATTGCACAGACGCCAATCCCAAACCCAGGAAACTTCCGCAATAGTTTGGTTCGGCGATTTTCGAACCGATCCTGCTCCTGTAGCCAACAACCATGATCCAGCCCACACATAGAGAGAGAATGGAACACAGCTCAAGGAAGGAACCCTTCTCTATGCAACCTTTTTCATATTAACAAACCAAATAAAAAATAAAAGAATTGAGTTTCCAGCTCACACATAGAGAGAGAAAGGAACACACGTCGAGGAATGAACTCCTCTGACCTCTATGCAGCCTTTACCCCTTATTATATTAACAAACCAAATAAAAAATAAAAGAATGAATATCGAGCCTTCTATTTCCTCTCCGTTCAGCCTTGTTTACCAGGAGGTCCAAAACAAAAAGAGGAGAAGAGGAGAGGTAAATAGAGACGAGAGGTGCAGATGCATTATGGGCCTAATAGAAAGAGGAGAGGGAAACAAAGACTTGAGGTGCAGATATATTAGAGGTTTGCAGAGATACACCTTTTGGCCATGGGTTTCTCTTAACCCTAGAGAGAGAGAGCGGAGGAGAGAGACAAAGCGAAAGAAATGGCAGTAAGCTTTGCCGTTGAAGCCATTAGACTCTCCTTTTTCGACACAGTAACTCTCAAACTTTTGGCACGCACCTCCCTTCATTCAAGCCACAAGTGTCTCGTCTCCGACCAAAACTCACCAGACAAGGGTCGGGTCTGGGTCTGAACCAACATTTCGGGTATGGGTACAGGTTACTCTGCACACGTCGGGTCCGGATCCAGCAGGACCTGACCCATACGCGACCTGTTGCCACCCCTAAGAAAACCCCAACAAGAGCGTGGCGTGGAGAGAATAGGAGAGAGTTTGGCGTGATACTATAATCGAAGAGCGAGTGGCATGAAAAAGTGCGCATCTTATTGTGTAGAGAGAGGGGGTTCAAATTTAAGTATGCTTTATTCAATTTTCAGTTAGACCTTTAAGATAATTACAAAATCTGTAGGGTCAGATGGATTTAATCAGACTCATCCATCCTACAAATCAGCCATCATGATTTTGGGTGGAAAGATAGAAATCTTATCCTCTTATATTTTGATCCATATCCAACTCCCATTTATATTTAAAATATAACAAATCTTATCATTATTTAGATCTCCCATAATTTATAAGAAATCAAGGATAATTTATATTTTAAAACTTCTACTAGAATAGGAAATCAAAATCTTATTTAAAATTAAATTTTTTTCTATCTTATCTTTAACTAATTTAAAATCAAATTAGAAGCAAGAAAATGTGGGCATGCCCCCTTTCACCTAAAAACAAGGTGTGCCCCCTTTGTGCTAAAAAGGTAGCGTGCCCCGCTTTTTGCTAAAAAGGTGGTAGGCAACTTTATGCTAAAAAAGTGGTGTGGCCCCTTGGGGGGGCACAAGGTCCCACACATAAAAACGTTATACACATGTGGGGTTGGAAACTCGGCCCCACATGTGTTGTTTCAAGTTCTGAAATTTTCATAAATATCCTTTTAATGAAAATTACAGAAGAAATAATATTTTAAAATCTTGAAAAAATATTTTAAAAAAATTTAATACCAAAATAAAATATACTAAGAGTGGACTTGTTACTAATGGGTCAAAATTAGCAATAATAATGACACTTAACCTCCCTAGAAACCATGATCCTTTACTGTTTTCTTATCCAACACAACAACCCATGACTGACAGTTTCGAAGCAGAGGCTCATGATTGGCTTGTCAAAGTTGGATAATAAACAAAGGAATTATAATCCTGAAATGTGGATTTCAGCTCTCCCTTTAAGAGCAAATCTAACATTTGTCACCACAGTGCAAATGGGGCTCTCTCTATGCACATGTACACATGTCCCTCTATACGGCTGCTTCTCAGAAATGTGGCTGTCATGTGTACGTGTTGTACGGAAGTTTGTTGAGGCTTTAACCTTTGCTCTCATAGGCCTACAACCACAGACAGGTGCCACATAGTTCTTCTGGCCTACAAACATCATCCCTGGGCATCTCTCCGACCTCAATAAGGAGTGACCCATTGCAAACCCTTCTCGGTTGTGCTACATGCCCAAGGGTAAGAGTTTTGGACATGGCCAAAGCTAAAAACTGCCCAAGCCTTGGTTAGTCAACAATTAACACACACTCCCATTGAAGTGTATATTTTATTATAAATATCATATTTACAAGATCTCTAGGCCTTTAAGGGCTACAAAGCCCAACATATATTTGGTGAGGGTACCCCATTCTTGGGCTGGCACTTGGACACCTAAGTGGCCAGGTCCACAAAACGCTTAGGCGTGCGCATGTGCTTCTTGAACATTGAGGACAATAACGATTTCTCCTATGAGTCCTTGAAGGATCTGTTAAATTTTAGTGTAAATTGTGTTTCTAAACAACTATGGATCAAAGCTTCCTTTCTGGTCGGACGTTTTGGGAAAAGAAATGTACCAATGCTTAGGGCTTTGAATACGACAGTTAGTCTCCCCAATTTTCCCTTTTAAAAGGCAAACCCTGGTGTTGTTCGACTCTTTCATGTTAGAAACCTTTTGTTTTTAGGTTCTCTACTTTGTTCTGATCTTATGTCTTAAACCTTTTCCATGGCACGGTTTGGTGTTGATAACTAGGGGAATGTGGTGGCCCCTTGGGTATTCCTGAATCGGACACTGGCAATGCCCCATGCTCTCACTAGCTTGGTTTTGTCCTTCTATAGGCGAAGTTTTAGGAGGTTCGATCGTGATCGAGCCACAAGATTTTGATGTGGTCTCAGTCCTGCATCGAGAAAAGTGGCTTCAAGAATCCTTAAAACACAATGGGAAAAGTATTCTGTAATTAAGGGCTAGCGTACAAGGAAGGCAAAAAGGTTGTGATCACAAAGTGGAGTTGTGGAAGGAGAAATGCCATGCTTCCATTCGTGAGATCAAACTTCTGGTCAAATGTGTTAAGCTCTGCAATGGTTGTCCTGTTCCATTTAAGAGGCACGGCCCGTTGTTGCCTACCTCGAAGACATTTGTGTCTCTCTCTCTTTTCTAATTTCTCTTCATGTTTTTTCTATCATATTCTGTTTGTGTTGAAAGATTTATATTTTCCTTGCACATTTATTTTCTTAAGATTGAACGGAATCATATTTCCATTTTTGAGTGGTTATGGCCATGTTTAGGATAGTCTTCTTCCATCTTTGTGGCCACGTGTATTGTGCTTAATTTTATTTAAATAGGGTTGTGCTCTCTGTTGATGGACTTCACGCCCTATCCCTGATTCGATTGAAATTGACCTTGTGGCGGATATGGTCACTTGCCAAATTGAAGAGGTTGAATGTGGCTTACTAGTATGCTTTGGCTGACAATCATCTGGGAGTCAGGATGCCAAATCTATTTTCTAGGCATGGGATTGGCATGATCGGCTTGGGCCTGGCCATGGCAGTGTTTGTTCAAGAAGAAGTTAATGACCATAAGCCCATAAGAGTTCATAACCCCAAACAACAAATAAGGGTGATCAGCTCCCCACCCGTGACAAATTTCAGAATTCCAAGATGGATATTTCACTTAAAGGTCAAAGCTAAGTTTGATCCACCATCCATTATGGCCATGCATACACTGATGGAAAATGATAGGTCAATGAGAGAGAATCCCAATGAGTTAGAGTTCAATTATTACTTGATGATAAATGCAACTGATGAGATTATGTAAAAGAAATACATTGCAAGGGGTCAGTTGCATACATCATCATCATTCTGAATGGATTACTTCGTTAGCATGTTGTAGTCTCAAGAAATTTTCAATGAAACAGACGTGCATAGTAATACTGGGTTTGCTTCTTATCAATATTTGTTTCACATAAAAAGGAAATTTCGATTTGTGATTATGCTCTTCAGGAAAATCAATTTACACTAGGTATATTTGTTCAGTGTAGGGTCTTATGCTCACCGAACATCTCTTGCTGCATTTTGGCAGGTTGTACTGTTGAACCAAGTAACTACAAAGTGTACCGATGGTTCGTTCCAATTGACTCTTGCATTGGGTAATCTTCCTCATCAAGTTTTGTTATTCGAACTCTTTTTACTGCTTCATGACGGGTTATATCTAGTTGTGGTGATATGGCTGCTATGTTGTTATAAGTTGTCATTGCAGGCATATCCCTGATCACCTTGCATGTATATATTTGTTTATTCTTGGATTTAATTACCTACATACTTGGTAGTTATGGCAACATTATAGAGGTTTTGGTTGATACAAACAAGCATTCTACTCAGCATGTGTTAAAGCACCTATTCCTGAGAATACAGAGATGTGGTGTTCCAATCTTGAGAAATCTAACATACCTACTCCTTTTCAGTCGGACCAAAAAATGGACAACTCCAAAGAATAATGATAAATGTAATTGCTATTTGACGTGTCAATTTCCCAATGTGGTCTGTTGTGGTTTTAGTTGTTTCCGGTGAAAATACTTGGCATTGCTCTATTAAATGAATAGGGTCTATATTTTGTGTAAAGATTTCACATGCTTCTTATTACATATGTCCCTTCTCTTTTCCTCTTTTTGAAGATACAGGTGTGCATGCATGTGCCCATGTTTACCTTCACATACATACAACCATGTATCAGAGCTTGTTCCTGTTTCACTTGTGAATGGTTGTTCTAATGTTATTTGATGAATTTGTTTTCTGGAATCGATTTCACGATTTCATAATTGGTCACCAATCTCAGTGGACATTAATGCTTTAGCTTGAAGCAGGTGAAAGTTGGTCTCATGCCTGCACAAACCGCATTATTTTATATTGGAAAGGCAATGAAAGGTGTGCATACCTAGATAAATCACCCTCTCTGCCATTGTCTGCGGCTCCATTCTCTGTAACAACAAAGGGGATCAGGAGTGTCGCATCCAGCTGTAAAAGGATGAGGACGACATAAGAGGTATGGGGATGCAGTTTGTGTGGATTTTCAATCGGGTGCATATCCTTTCCTGTTGAAGTGCTGCCAAGGGTGGTCTGCTTGTCCTTTATCAGCATTGATGCTGGGAAGCTGTATACAACTTAAAGTGGCCTCCTTTTGTTATGCGGTATTTTTTGGCGTTTGGATTTCTTACATGTTGTTAGGCTTGACAAGATCTTGTGTCCATAAATATGTGTTGTTTGCCTTCTTGGAGCCCCTAGATGAGTTCGTGAATGCCTAATTTGCACATGGTTGTCGAGCCAAAACCGACTGGCAGTCTGCTGAGATATTTGCGTTCCATAATACATTAAGATAGCCTGAGCCATCAGTATTTCATGAGATCCACTAAACAGTGTATACTTTTGAAAGATCTACCAAACAAATGAATATGCATTTGCATTATGTGCATCAGGGATGCATTTTGTTTCTCATCTACCAGTGACCAGCATTGAGTTATATGCACGTTCTCTACTTCAATCATTGTTTCTCAGCTACCAGCATTGAGTTATGTGCACCTTCTTTGCTTTAAATCATCACTTGTATCGGTTAGGGCTATAATGAAAAGAGCCTCTTTAATAGATGTTTTGTGGTATCTTTGAAACTATTGTTGTAGATGCCACTGCTTCGTGCTATGGTTCTTGAGATGGGACTCTGAATGAGATTAATGTAAACAACCTGAGAGCAATATACAATTTCCCCTTCAGAAATTAGCAATCTATAGAAACTTTCAGTTGTCTTTCATATTGTGGATCACCCTTCATTGTTCATGGAGTCAATGATGCATGTCCATCTCTCTCTCTCTCTCACGCATCGTATGTCGTGAATTGATATGCATTAGCCAAATTAAAAAAAAAAGACGCTCCAGACTTTATAATCGAAGGAGATAAAAACCAATCGGATATTGGTTTCTGTATTTGTTTCTAGAAGACTTGCGAGATGCATTTTATGTCAAAAGGTCTTTATCTTCATTCTTAAATGCATAATCACCAAAACAAAGTCAAATCACCAGCCGGTGCCTGCTTTCAATACTCTTCACCTGTTAGATACATGTTTGATTTGAAACTGCATAATACCAAATCTTCTCTTCTATTCAACTGCAACCGCTCTCTTCCCATGAAGAACACAAGCAAATGGGCCTATCTATGTAGTTTCACGGAAGCTTGAATGATGGATGTCAGTGATGGATGCACGCGGGCCCTTTTAAGAGAACGAGCTTTGCTTCTCCCTTCAGCATATTCCTCACCCAGAGGCCACCTTGGGCGCAGATCAAACTGCTTAAAATTCACAAAAAATTCTGTTATGCCAAGTTAAAAACAACATTTGTTATGAAGACAAGAAATTGACAAAGTTCCTCTTATGCTAAGTGTAACTGGAAACCAATACCAAAAGGGGGAGGACCTTAAACTGGTCAAACGAGTGCTATCTAGAAGCTAAACCAAAAAGGGTAAGTGCAATAGCACATGTAGCACCATTGATGTGCAGTGCAGAAATAATTTATTTTTCCAAAAGTGCCACAAACACTTGTTCTTTGGTGAGAGAAAAGAAAAACATTAATTTGCTTCTTCGTTGGCTCTTTGAACGGCAATGTTTTTCATTAAAAAAATGTTAAAAATCATGGCAAATCCAAATTGAGACTAACAAGTAACAAGTGAAGTTTGAAAGAATGAAGTTGTTTCGTCTTCTACTTTTGTTCTTGATAGAAAGAAAATTCACTTATTTTCCATAAGTCAGCCATTTCTCCCAAACTACTTGATAAATTTACTAAACTACCACAATAAGCTTTTTATTAAAAAAAAGTTATCACAATAAGCTGCCAATGCAAACAAAAACTTACAGGTAAGCTCTTAGATATTGTTGTATGAGTTATTAGAACGTGAAACCGATGGTTAATGTTCCTGACTTATTTTTTCAAGGGTACCATGTTTCCTTAAATAGATCTGCTTCTGATTGCGATGTTCAATTATGATTCACACACTAAAATGTTTTCATTATTGTCACTAGAAGCTTCAAATCAGACTGAACGCATACACAATATTGGGGGTGAAGGAGAATAAAATATATAAATTACAAGTAGAAAGCAAGGCAGAAAACAAAAGCCAAGACAAACCACAGTATCCTCTTGTTCATCCTCAGGTGGTGGTGGGTCAAATCTCCCCAAACGGAAATGCTCGATCCCAGTCCAAGCAACCATTACACCTTGCACAAAAAATGTTGACATTGATGTCATTGTTTCACAACAAAGCAATGAACTGATAATATCTCAAAGAAGACATGTTTGTAAGTTTGTTCGTGGAGGAGCCTGGGAATTCTCCAAGCTTTAGATGTACTAGGCAGACTCGATCTAGGTGGGGAATCCATTTCAGAACTCGATCCATGTGCAAAGTGCATAGAAATATTGGTGGAAGAGGTTGTTCACAGGTGATATATATTTAGGGTTCGTGACCTTGCCTCAAAAGAATGTAATCATATCACAAAACAAGAAGCGTTTTGGAGACTTTGAGTAAGGTATTGTTCTCCTATGTCTCAATTGAGTTGAGGTGGGAATGTTCCAGGCTCATTGCAGCATGAGAGTCTCCCCCCTATACAAGATGGTGCACTTTTGATTGTGCAAGAGAAAACTCCGCTAAGTATGATTGATTGTTTTCACATATGGGTTTCCAATTGGATTCTTTTTCCCCCTTGTTGCAACACTAAATATGGTTGGACTCTATCCATTTTGCTTCTTTGTGGTGTCCTTATGATCATCCACCTTTATCCGATAGGAATAGGACTTTACTCTCTTTCCCTTGCCAAATATGTAAAACATGACCCGAAGGATGCTTTGGAGAATTGAGGCAAAGATGAAGCGACCTTGAATGGAAGTCAGTCCATGGAGATGGGCTAGCTTCTTCTACATACATTTCAAAGTGTATTGCGCGGAAGAGCTGGCGAGAGGCTACGCTCCTAAATATCAATTCTGTAGCATGAAAGTACCTTGTACTGCAGACAGTGAAGCAAAACTTTGCCAACATTCCTGAGTTATCATAAAATGGCTAACCCTTCAGGCAGATTATCATGGAGGCTGTCTAGTGACTTTGCAGAGGTTTTTGGACCTTATGCAGTACTCAGGTAACAGAACTATGTCATGTGCCATAGGCAAGTGACTGGGACAGCAACCGCCCTAGCCAAGGTTTGGTGGAGGCAATGTGAGTGTCATTGAATGATGCAACAAGGTGCTTATTATCTTCTAAACAGCGACACACTAATAAAATAATAAACATAGCAATTGAAAAGATCCTGCTAAGATGCCACAAATCAATATGTGGGCAAATCACATACCATTGTCAGTGCAAAGTCTTGGAGGAGGGCAAACCAGTTGTAGGTCATTCCTCTCAACAACATCATCAAGACGCAACCTAACATACTGGTTTGATGCAACACCTCCAGAAATTACCTACAGAGGAAAATGCCATATACACTGGAAAGTCAATGGCTGTAAAAGAAGATTACAGCTTTAGCAAACAAGAAAGGTAACAATAAGCATTAAATTGTAATACTCATCACCAAAGATGTTATGGAGGGTTCGATGCCTAGAGCCCATTCTATAGCACGTTCACACCTTTCCTCCAAATGTAGAACTGCTACTCGCTGCAAAGCAAAACACAAAGGGTAGGTGAAATTATGGCGAGAATCGATATCTATTAGCGTCAATTCAACACTAGACCTCACAGAAGTCAAGAAGAGAATAATCAGTAGCTTATACCTGGAAAGAGGCAGCTATATCTGCACGAGCTTTTCGGTCTTCACAATCTATGGAGGAGATGACATTTTTTTCTGTATTTCTAAGTCAAACATATCAAAATCCAAAAGAAAACATTTATTACTCAGTATGCCCATAACATTGATGTAAAAGACATGTCAAAGCATGGGGCGATGATCTATTACATGAATTTAAGAAGGGATTGTCCACAAAGAGACCATTTACCTTTTGTACATGGAGGTCACAAGATTTCACAATCATTCTTGTCCCTTAAATTTCAAAATGGTGGTTGTAAGAGTACCATTGAATAGGCACAAAGTTCAAAAAAAAATAATTCTCGAACTTCGTAACTCACCCCAAGCCATCTAATTTGCCATCTAATGAGTGGGAATATTGTGACCTCCATGTACAAAAGATAAATGGTCTCTTTGTAGACAATCCCATTTAAGAAATTGGAGAACAAAAGAAACTAGCTAACAAACCACTAACATGAAAATCCGAAAGCCAGTTACTAACTTTTCTAATATATTATATGCATGCAATACAGTTTTGTTGTTTGTCAGACACTAATATATTATCAGAAATAAATGCAGCAATAATCTGCATGTAATATAGCATCAAAACAAGCTAGGTATTGAATGCGAGAAGCATAGCAAAGCAAAAAAATAAAATATATGCCCCATGTCCAATGCAGTACAAGGCAAGATATGAACATAAGACTACCAAAATATAATTGAGATGTTTGGAGAGACATGAGCTCTCTGAGTGTATGACAGAATTCAAGCCAACCACATTTCTACCAAGAGTTACATTATTTGAATCAGATGAACAGGAATACAAGTTGCCTATCCTTTTTAGGCTTTTAGTACTATTTTTTACTCTTTAAAGGCAAGAATAAGATGCCCAATATCCAACACCAGTTCTAAACATTTTTCCTTTTTCTTTGTTATTTAGGGTTTATTGGTACACAAGACTGGCACAGGGCCTGGGTCTAGTTCAAACTAGCACTTGCTGGTCCAATCTGGTTTTCATGAGACTTCTATCAAGAATAAATGAAGACTCCTAGGGGGAGATTTAATGGACAAAGCAGTGTTGTCGGTTCGCTTCGGGCGAAACACCCGAAGTCTTCGGGCGAACGACCCGAAGTCTTTGGGTTTCCTTGGCTACCGAAGAGAAGAGAATAACCATGTCTTTTGGCACAATATTTCGCCATTCAAAATGAAATTATGGGCGTCCTTAACTTTTTGAGTATAGAGTAATATGAGGCGCGTATTACATTGCCCACGTGGCTGTACCCTTCTTCAATTACTCATCCTCTGCCCACATGCCTGTGTACCCCTCTTCAATTACTCATTCTCTTCCACAATTACAACCTTTCCTTTTATTAAAACAAAACAAGACCATTGCCCTATCTTTTTTGTCTTTGTAAAATTCCACCATTATCCCGTGCTTTTATTAAAATAAAACAAGTTGGTTATCAAGCCATCTCTTCATCACGTGAAAGGATGGTTATGTCCTCACACAATAATATAAATTGAATGTCTTTTTTTGTATTTTTTGATATTTTGATATTGTGATATTTTTATTATTTTAATATATTATATGTAAATGTATATATTTTTTATATTAAATTAAAAAAAAAGTCTGAAGTCTTCCCTGAATTGGCCGAAGTACCAAATTGCTTCATTTTTCTGACCAACTGAAGAATACTCCGAAGCGAATCTAACAACATAGGGACAAAGTAACTATCCAATCCACATAGGATCCGAGATACAATTCATACAACCAACAGCCTGAATACAGGCCCCATCGGAGTTGATTCTTGGGAAATTAGGATCCTGACTTGGTCAACATTACTTTGGAAGTAGAATTAATGGATGATAAAAGACAGTCCTCGAACGACACAAAGAATATAATACTCAAAGATTAACGACGTGTAGCTAGACAAATCACAAATCTCCAAAATAAGACTTGGAAATCTGCAGAGGCAAACCCTGCAACCAGGAATGTCACTAATGGTGATGTTTGTGAGTGCGATCACATAACACTACTATTGCTCTCCCTTTTTCGTTTGTAGTATTTTTTTTTATTTCTAGTGAATTTAACAATGTGAGTTCAAGGTTAGAAAAGCAATTTAAGTAATAACACTACTAGCTACGACATAGCAAGTACCATGGTAAATTCTAGGAAGTCCATTGGCATTGTAGATGATGCATTTCACATATGTTTTTCGTATTTGATCTAAACAACATGACTTGTTCAGCTACATACAAAAAGATCTTATAGCATTTACTAAACTAGTTGCTGGTTAACAAAATGGGCCACCTTGCAAGAAGAATGAACCCTCAAGCCGGTATATTGATAGTCAAGGCATCTGGATATCAAATTTGAACACAAATAAACCTAACACTGATAAGAAAAGGGTAAATAAGGAGACAAATGTTCTAGAACTAGATTGATTGATGACAAAAGGAATCCGAATGAGAAAATAACTTGCAAGCAAGCAGGACTCACTTTCAAAAGTGACATTTCATTCAAATGAATTGCTACTCTAAGAAAAGATAACTACAAGAACTTGTATGAAAGCTCATCCACTCACATGTTTCTAGATTCAATTGCCATCCTCACTTGAGTTTTCAAACCCGCATATGAGAAATTGCAATCCTTGTGTTGCTTCATGGGAACCTATGAGGTACATACAACTTTAATAGTTCCACCATTCCAAAAGAGAAGTATCAACTAACGGCTGGGTGGCGACTGCAACTTTTTTATATTTATACTGTCAGGGAGTTCATTTACCAAATTATAAATCTGTCACTTCAATAGAGAGAAAAAATAGGGATCCTTTTCTGCCAATCCCCTATAGTCCTTGAGAAGCACTTACAGAGAATTTAATTGAATGTGGGTCGCCTTCCCGAGCAAGCTCTTCTAAAGCTGGCCCACCACCCCTTCTCATGTCAAGGCCAAGCCATCTTGCTGTCTTGTCAAAAGCCTCACCTATCGCATCATCTATTGTTGTCCCAAGTTGAACATAGTCACCAAGATCACGTGCTAGAATAAGGAGATTATGTCCTCCTGTAAGAAACAAAATTTTGTAGGATTTTCATTCTCATTGCCAATGAATGGTAGAATCTTACACACAGAGAACCTGAGTTTCCTAAGTTATCTTAACAATTATAATAATGGAATAACTTAAAGAGGAAAGTATACATAACCCAAGGTAGGGACGACTTATAAAGGACAAGCCCCAACTGGCAAACTTTGCACTAGATCTTCACAACCAGAAGGTCTAGAAAGTATCAAGTAAGAGCTGAAGAGGAGTTGACCATTTTTAGGAATCAATGAGGTTCCAAAAGTGGGAGTGGCACCTCCAACAAGATGGTCTAACAATTTTCAATAGATAGCAAGATCCTGTAACAAAATATAAAGGTAACTGTAAACAGAGATCCATATCCCCTCCCTAGTTATACATATCCATTCTTTGATAATTTGCCTCTCAATTATGGGACGCAAATGAAAAACTCAAAATGCAGTGATGTTCCATCTCAAGAACCTTGAGCAGATGCCAAGGAACAATACAAAAAGCCTGGTCTATCTAACAAATTATGTCGAGGAAATCTCCCCTGTGGACCAAAGGGGAGGCAATAAGCATAACAGAAACCAACTAGAACCGCAATAACTGGATGAGTAATTGGGGTATCCTTTGCTCCTAGAGAAAAAGAGATTATCTCCTAGTATCCTATGGAATTGCCAGGGCCATGCATGATTGGACACTTTTGATCAAAGCATAAACCTGGTGGCTCTGTAAAAGTAAGCCAACTATGGACGGTGAATATGTATGCCCTTAATGATTTACCTAGGCTTTGGAAAGGACTTATAAATCCTCTGAGAACATGGAAAAGTGCCTACAGCCAAAGTATAGTCTCAGACCTTAATAATAAAGTGCAGCCTAGGAGAGACCTTGATTGAACACAAAATACATGGAAAGATCCACAAAAGCCACATATTTTTCCCTGAGTGAACGGATCTAAAAGACGAGCCACATTTCTCTTGGTTGAAGACATGGGAAGACACATGTCTCTGGATTAATACATGGGGGGATACATGAATCGTTTTTGAGACACAGAGGACACGTCTCTTGATTGAGACATGGTAGACATACTGGTCTCTTGTTTAGGACATGGGAGGACACAGGCCTCTTGGTTGAGACATGGAATAACATGTCTACTGGTTGAGACATGGGAGGACACATGTGTCCTAGTTGAGAAATGGGAGAACACATGCCTAGAGTCTAGGCACATGTCTCTTCAATGCGACATAGGAGGACACAAGTTTCTTGGATGAGATGCTAATTGCTTTTGGACTCAAATCAAGGAGGGTTGTATATTGGGGGCTGCTCCTAAAAATCTCAGGTGATCATACTTGGTTATCATTGGGCAAAGAGGCAGTATTGGAATTAAGCTTATGGATACCATCATATACTAATAAGCTTGAGGTACTTATGTTTTAGTTGAAGAAGTTATGGGTCTCACTTGAGGGTATTGATACTTGAAGGGGGCCAACATGCTCAAGAGGTTCTAGATTCCAAAGTAAGAGATGAGATGCTGGTATATTTAAATTTTTTGAAAGGTCCTTAGAGTGGATTATACACTTTAGTTGGAGTGTACACTTTTATTGACTGATCCGTGTTTAGGCAGTCTATGGCTTGGTCATATGTCCCACTTGTCCTTTTTTTGAGAATTGTTAACTTTGTATATATGGTAAAATATTTACAATATGTTTTTTTTTTTTTGATAAAAGTTGACTATAATTGTATATGGTAAAATGTACAAAAGAATGAGGCCCTCTGAAAGAGCACCGTGTACAGTCCTGAAGGGTTCAAAAAATGAAACATCGGGGAAAGTCTACTCCAAGGAGATAGTTGGGGGTCCGCAAAAATCTACAGCCCCACCGGGGTGTTAGAATAGGCTCCCTCAGAAAGACGGTCGGCCTTGGAGTTGGCTTCCCGAAAAACGTGGCACCATGAGATTGATATATACCTCTGGATGAGTGGGATATCTCGTCGAAGATGTCATCCAAGTGCCATGCGCAAAGGGAGAGGCCGGATGCCTACGAGCTGACAGACTTGGAATCCCCTTACACCTCCACTATGGGGCCCCAAGAGCTGTCAAATATTTGGAGGCCTTTCAATAGGGCTTGGGCTTCAGCTAAGGTTGAATCTGCTATACCGATTGGGCAGGAAAAGCTTAGCAAGGTCTGGGCCTCATTGGAGTGAAAAAGGCCGCCTATTCCGGATGGGCCAGGGTTGCCAAGGGAGCAGCCATCGAAGTTTAGTGTAATAGAGCCCAGCTCAGGTGGTCTCCAAAGAGATGACCGCAAGATACTGGACTTGCCCATAAGAAGTAAGTTCTTCCAATTTCTAAGAAAATCAGTAGGGGGAAGTTGTTGAATAACTTATGATTGGAGGCCAAGAATGCCACCAAGTTCCTTACTTTGCTGGCCAAGGCCACAACCTAGGATCTCCCTCCTCTGAAAATTCTGTGGTTCCTTTCTATCCACAACACCCACATGGTGGCAGCCACCGAGGTTTTCCAAAGTTCTGTACCTGCCTTGGGCCAGGGAGAATATAGGTAAACTTGGAACAGGTGAGGGATGGAGCTTGGAGTGAGCCAAAACCATTGGAAAAGGCCCAAAAGATAGGACCAAAGTGCTCTTGCAAACTCATAGTCGAGGAAAAGATGGGCATTGGTTTCTTCTGCCTCCAGGTAAATTGCACATCTATTGGGGCATTACATCTTCTTTGAAGAAGGTCTACTGTCAGCACTCGCTCATGGAGCGCTATCGATCAGAACACCTGGATTCTTGGAGCCCAAAAGGGGTTCCAGGCTTTAGACAGCAAGGAAGGGTTGGTTAGGGTCAGCAGCAATGGGATCACAAGAGAGGGTGGGTGTAAAAGAAAGAGGACACCAAAATAATTCCGGAGGGGGCTGGCTCCCATATAATCTTGTTTTCACCACAGATAGGAAGGAAGACTTGGTGAAGGATTTCTGCCACAGCCCCAAGATTGTCGAGTTCAAAATCGTTCAAGTCCCCTGAAATTTGGCAACCAAGATCGAATGGAGCTTGTGATCCCAAAGTTTTCTGCCACAGTTGAGTTTCCTTCGCACACTATGCGGAAGAGGCTAGGGAATTGATCCTGCAGAGGTCTAAATCCAACCCAAATGTCTTTCCAGAACGTGACCCTGTTTCCCTCTCTTGGGCGAAACCTTATGTGACGAGAGAAGTGTTCACGGTACCTAAGGACAGATTTCCAGAAGCCAGAAATTAGGCCATTATTCATGCACACAGGTGTTCATAGGTCAAGAGCCATGGCAGTACTTGTGTTTGATGACGTCTCTCCATAGGTGGCTTGATTGGGTCGCATACCTCACCACCACTTTCCCAAGAGAGCATCATTGTGGACTCTCAGATTGTGAATACCCAAACCTCCCTGAGACTTTGGGAGGCACAATTTGGGCCAAGCGATGAGATGGAACTTGTTCCCATGTTCACCCGACCAGAAAAAATCCCTCATCATTCTCTCCAATCTAGCAGCTACCTAGGCCGGGATGCGGAATAAAGACATCTGAAATACGGGTGTATTGGCTAGAGTGGCTTTGATGAGCGTGAGCCTTCCCCCCTTGGATAGAAACCTTCCTTTCCATCCCGAGAATCTCTGCTCAAATTCATCAATAATGTGGCTCCACTGAGATAGTCGGGGTATCCCAAGACAAAGGGGGAGACCTAGGTAAGAAGAGGGTAAATTCTCCACAGAACAACCCCAACTACAAGCAAAGAAGTGGACTAGTGAAGGGTCAATGCCAACCCCTATCATCTTAGACTTGCTACGATTTTCCTTAAACCCGGTGGCCATCTTGAAACATTTACGAAATAGCAGAAGCATCAACTTGTTGCACCGAATTGTCACAGAAGACAAGGGTATTGTCTGCATATTGAAGGTGGAAGATGCGGGGTACATTGTTACGGGAATGAAATCCACATAGGAGACCTACTTGATGTAGCTGTGAAATTAAGGTGCTGAAAACCTCAGCCACAATAGCAAACAAGAACGGCGAGAGAAGGCCCCCCTGGCCAAGACCTCTAGAAGTTGAGAAGAGGCCTCTAGGGGTACCATTGAGAAGAATTGAGAAAACTAGACTAGAGAGGCATCCTCTGATCCAACCCCTCCACTTGGGTTTAAAAGCCGTCCTCATCAAGAATTGCCCAGTTGACATGATCATAGGTCTTCTCCCAGTCTAGATTTATGACTAGTCCTGGGAATTTCAAGATAGACATAGTGTGAATGCATTCATGGGAAATTAAAGCCCCGTCTATAATTTGTCGACCCTTGATTGGGTGGGGGAGATGACTGAGTCTAAAACAGCCCTTAGTCTGAAAGCAAGAACCTTGGAAGGCAGCTTGTATGAACTATTGACCAAGCTAATTGGTTTGAAATCTTTCAATTTTTTGGCTCCTTCAATCTTTGGAATAAGGGCGAGGAAAGTTGCATTCATACCTTTGTTTATGACCCCTCTGGAATGGAATTCTGAAAAGAACTCCAAAATGTCAGGGTGAATGACATCCCAAAAAGTTTCGAATAAGGTAACCGGTACCCGCTTGGACCAGGAGCTCGGTCAGGGCTTAGGTCGTTGAGTGCCAAGAGTATTCTAAGCTCCAAGAACGGGCGTTCTAGCCACGCAACTTTTGCGGAAGGGAGAGATAGGAAAGAGCTGTCGTGCATTATGGGTCTCGGGCTTAGGTATGCAGAGAAGATTGGTGAGGAAGTATACATCAGTCTGTTCCATAAGGTGAGGTTGATCAAAGATCACATCGTCGACCTTGAGATGAGTGATCGAATTTTCTCGCCTCCTACAATTCGCTATCTTGTGAAAGAAGCCCGTTATTCAAATCTCCCAACTTAACATTTGACCTTGGCTCTCTAGGCCCATTATACCTCCTCCTTGCGTAAGTTAGCTTGGTAGTCAAGCTTAGTTTTTGCACGCTGCTCACTCTCAAATGGCAGTAAGGGTCTAGAT